CTGACATATATTTTATCCTACAGCCAACATGTACAAGCTAGTGTCTAAGCCAATAAGCAGCCTCAAGTTTCAAGCAAGGCCATACCATATAAAGCATGTTAACAGGCACGCAACTTGTAGCCTTTGTACTGTTTTTTCACATTAATTTGTTTTGTAGCATTATAACGCTCATGAGTTCAACTCTAGCTTTGCAGGACATGGTGATCACATAAAGGAAGAAATAAATGAGTAAATGATAAGTGCGAACCCGTGCAAGCTTCAGAGGCGCAGACAGAAGTTTGATGTGCTAGCCCTCGACAAATTTTGCCTCCGCCAACTGGAGAAGGACTATCACATGCACGATTACGAGATTGAAGTGCGAAACCGCAGCCGCTTGGGCATTCGCTCCACGACGACCAACTCCCCCATCCTCCGTCAACAGCTGCAAGTGCAAGAACTGAGAAAAACAAACACCCAAAGTAAATATCCCGTGAACAGAATAAGTGGTTGGATGGTCACAGATATTTAACAGGCTTAATTTCTTCTTTGATCAAGGGTCATACCGTGTTCAGTGACTACAAGGTGCAATCATACATGCAGTGATTCAAAATTTCAATCTGTACAAAACCAACTCACATTTAAGACATTTTTCACTAGCACAATGTTGCAGCTCAAAGTCGCTTCCAATACAAGGTTTACCTCCTTGAGATGGGCGAGGTTTGGAGCAGTATCTGAATTGAAAGTGAGTACAAGTGAAAATCCATTCAAAATCCACCTTCATGCTAATATGACATTGATTTACCGCTACGTTACTTACTTGAGGTAAGCGTATCCGATTCAAGGCAAATTTTACCGATGTTATTTTATTTACAACGAGTAAGATCTCTAGAACAAACTCTAATTGATGTGAAAAGAGTTGAAATATTGCGAAGAAGGAATCGCTGCCCGTTAGTTTAACAAATTTTTTGTTGGTCAGAGGGTATTATTTCTTCAAAATTGTGTATGGAGCAAGATTTTTAGCATGTGTATCGTTTCGTTTCTAGCCAGCTCTGTGCTTCTTTACTAAAAGCTTCAAAGGCCAACCTTGTGCGACTTCGATATCCGTTTGAGCATGAATCTCCGCAGTCACTCCATTCACTCCAATCACTCCATCCACCATCTACTCTGTTTTCACAAATACGATAAGAGTTGCATGGTCTTTGATCGAACGAATAGCCAACGCAGTATGAACCCCTAGGTATTGGCAAAATTTTATTAGCGACCTAAAGAAATAATTCATAGATTTGCAGAAAAATCTAACTACCTGTTCGAAGGAAGCGGTTCTGAACACATTCGATTACGGATCTGATGACCAGACCCTTGACAGTCTTTCGAACATAGTGACCATTCCGACCATGCCGACCATCCTCCAGGAGAAGATATGCAGTTCTAAAGTACATTAGACTTCAAGTTTTCTTAAAAGAAGCGCAATTCTAGGGGGAATCCAACAAGGTACAGTGAAGCAAAATATCCAAAATTTGGCTATTGTATAATCCCTGATTCACTTTGATGCGCAAATTCAACAACTTTTCCAGAGCAAATTACTCGCTAGCAATCCATTTAGCTAAATGTTGTACTGAAAACGAGAAATTTGAAAGGGTTAGCGAGCAGTAAAACTGCCGACTGAGTCGTAGTGAGCTTTTTTGCTTTTTCAATGTGTTCAGAAGATTTGAAATAACTTGCCAAAAATTTTGCTGCTAG